AGGTAATTGAAGCTTTACAGAAATTACTTTTATGTAAGTTTACAGTAAAATTAACTTCAGACAATTTTCTAAAAAGGTTAGTCAACTGAACAATATGTTCTTCAAAAGTATTAGAAAATACAACTATATCATCTATGTAGGCCTCACATTGGTCTATGTCAGCAATGACAGAGTTAATGACCCTCTGGAAAGTTTGACCAGCATTTCGCATACCAAAAGGCATACGTTTGTATCTATAAAAACCATTAGGGGTTACAAAAGCAGATATTTCTTTTGCACGGTCAGATAAGGGGATTTGCCAGTATCCTGAAAGCAAATCAATTTTGGAAATTATCTTAGCCTGACCAACTTTATCAATAACGTCTTCTATTCGAGGTAAAGGATAGGAATCAGCTTTGGTGAGCGCATTCACCTTCCTAAAGTCGGTCACAAACCTGAAAGATCCACCGTCTTTCGGTACTAGGAGACATGGGGAACTCCAGTTGCTGAAACTGGGCTCAATGATATCATTCTTGAGCATATAATCAATTTCATCTTTTATCAAAGCAGCTTTTTCCGGGTTAACTCTATAGGGGTGTTGTTTAATGGGTTTTGCGTCACCAACGTCTACATCATGAGGTGGAACCTTCGCTTCTTTGGGGACATCCCCAAAGATAGAGGGAAATGTCTCGAATAACTGAGACAATCTATGGCTTTCCTCTGTGGACAAATGCATAAGGTGGACATTCAAATTATCTAAAAAGGAAGAATTTACCAATTTTGGGGGTTTCAATTTATCATGTATCACATCATCAGAAACATTTGAACATACAGGTAAAGTAGCTGTGGATTGAAAATTGTTACAATTATCATAATACTTTTTCAGTGAGTTGACATGATACACTGTCTGTTTCTTTCTTCTGTCGGGCGTATTGACAACATAGTTCAAATCACTTAATTTTGAATGCACAGTAAAGGGTCCACAATATCTCAAGGATAACGCATTGTTCAGATTAGGTACTAGCACAAGAACTTTGTCGCCTGGATTGAATGTTCGTTTACAAGAACGCTTATCATACAGTTCTTTCATTCTAACTTGGGCCCTTCTTAAGTTCTTGTGAGCCATTTCGCACACGGCTTTCAGTCGAACGTGAAAATCGTCGAAGTTTTCCACTGGATGATCACTGGTACCTGTCCAACGTTCGTGTATCAGCTTCAGGGGGCCACGGACAGAATGTCCAAACACAAGTTGAAAAGGCGAGTAGCCTAAAGAGTCCTGGACACAGTCCCTCGCGGCGAAAATAATCCAAGGAACAGACTCATCCCATTGGGTGTTACTGTTAGCGAATGTCCTTAACATGGTTTTGAGGGTTTGGTGGAACCTCTCAAGTACGCCTTGAGACTGAGGGTGGTAGGCTGAGCTGGTGATGTGGGTAACGCCTAGCTTGGCTAGCGCTTCCTGAAAATGGTGACTGGTGAAGTTGCTGCCTTGATCTGTTTGCACGATTCTAGGTAATCCAAAGGTAGTGAAGAACCGGGTCATGGCTCTGACTACAGTCTTTGCCTTAATGTTCCGTAAGGGAATCGCCTCGGGAAAACGGGTACTTGAACACATAAAGGTAAGTAGGTACTCGTTGCCCGCCTTGGTTTTAGGCAAGGGACCTACACAGTCCATGACAATTTTAGAAAAAGGTTCTTCTAATACAGGAATCGGACTCAAAGGGGCCTTAGGAATTGTCTGGTTTGGCTTTCCGGCCAACTGACAGTTCGTGCAACTTCTACAGTAACGCGACACATCTTTTCTCATTTTGGGCCAAAAGAACAGTTCTTTGATCTTCGCCGTCGTTTTAGTGACACCTGGGTGCGCTGACATTGGATGGTCATGTGCCAGCTTAAGTATTTCATGCCGATAAGGTGGAGGGATCCACAGCTGGTTTTTACCCAACCATGGTTCGGCTGGTGAGGCAATCACTGGTATAGCGCGACGAAAGAAGAGGCCGTTCTCGGAGAAATATTCTCCATCGTCAGATGATAGAGATTTTTCGACCGTTGCTTTGAGTTCCGCGTCGACTTGTTGAGCTTTAATGATGTCTTCCTGAGATATTCTCAGGGGTAAGCCCAGGCTTGTGTTTTCTGGAAGCATAGACTCTAGTTTGGGAGTCGAATTTCTTGACGATGATGGCAGGTGTGGTTCAGACATTGTGTCAGACAATTGTTTGGTCTGGCTTCTTGTCACCGCACATGCAGGATACAGTTCATAATCATTATCTGGAACTGTTGACAAAGGGTCTGAAACCGTACAGGGGTATACTTTGCTTCCCGCAAGGTCATTCCCTAGAAGTAGGTGTACTCCTGGGACAGGCATACTATCTATCACACCTAAAATGACCTCACCTTCGACGAGATGATGTTTCAGGGCAAACTTGTGTAGAGGGACGACAGTAGATTTTGTCCCCACTCCCTGGATAATGGAAATCCTTCCAGTGTTCGTCTCTGGTGAAATGTCCATTGAACTTTTCAAAAGGAGTGATTGTGACGCTCCTGTGTCTCTTAGAACGGTGATATTCTTCTGAGACAACGGATCACCTGGTTTACTAATGATGGCTTCGGCAATAAAAGATGAAAAGTCAACTTTTCTCGATCTCTCGAGATCGGTAGACTCGGAAGAAACTGGATGGTGGCGAGAACAGTCAAAATGTGACTGCACATAATGTGTGGAGACTTGACTACCTTCTTGCGGACACTTAGGGTTAGAGTCCTTTTGAATTCTAGAGTTCATAGTTGAACTGGCTGCTTGAGGGGATAGAGCATAGTGCGCGGAAGTACGCACCACCTCTCTGTTATTCTGAAGACGTTTGTAACAGTCCTTGACAAGATGCCCAGACCTTTTGCAGAACTGGCATACTGCTCGACGATTGAGAGTTGATCTTGGTTTCTCTCTGGACTGTGATGCCTTCAAATGTTGGCCAACAGGATGACTGCTGCCAAAAAGGGGAAGCACGGGGTTGAGGCGGTTTCCTGACACCGGTGGTTTCTTATGCACCAACATATATGTGTCAGCCGACTCAGCAGCCTTCTGGATGTCAGTTATCTTGTTATCCAGAATGTGTAGTCGTATCTCTTCAGGCAGGGACGATAGGAATTCTTCCCTTAGGATAAGTGACCTGAGTTTCTCAAACTCAGAAACTTCCTCAGAGTGTAGCCACCTTGAGAATATTTTCTCCTTTTCAAAGAGAAATTCCACATATGATTGTGTGGGTAACTTGCGGAGTGTTCGGAATTTTGTCCGATAGGCCTCGGGCGTCAGTGCGTAGGCCTTTAAAATGGCAGTCTTGACCAAACTATAGTTATTTTGAACGTCGTGAGAGAGTGCCTGGTATGTTTTTGCAGCTTTCCCAGTAAGGACAGAGCTCAATAAAGCAGTAATGGAAGTTTCGGGCCATTCACATGTCTTCGCTAAACTCTCAAACGAGTTAAAGAAAACGACCAAATCTGTTTCATCAAATTTAGGAACTAATTTCCCAAATTTGGCAATCACTTGCCCTACCGACAACTTTTTTGGATCTACCGGAGAAGTGACATCACTAACTTGACCAAACTCTAATTCCAACCTCCTCTTATCTAAAGCAATTTTAGCCTCTAACTCCTGTTTCTCTAAAGCAACTTTTTCCTTCTCTAAAGCAACTTTCTCCTTCTCTAAAGCAATTCTAGCTTCTAATTCTACCTTCTCTAGAGTTTTCTCCTCGCGGAGCAACACACCAGCCAACAAACTTTCATCAAATACTCCTTCATTAATGAAATGAACAACAATTTTATCTCTCAACACCTCTGACTTCTGCGTAACAGAATAATCCAATTTCAATTCCTTAACAACACTAACCAAAACTTTTCTACTCAACTTCTCGACATCTTCAACAGTCGGATTAGCCAAAAAAGACTCCATAACACTAACTTTCAAATCACAACAAGCCTAGATCCTTTAAATTAATACACAGCGTTGGGCCGTGTACTTGACCTCTAAATGTAGGCCGTGACACGTCTGCTTATTTGACCTAGATACTCTAGCCTGAGCGCGCGTTGTAAGAACACTGCGCTACTGGATATAAAAACAACTAAATCCAACTAACCTTAGTATTCAACTGATATAACCAACAACTGGAACGACAGATTAAATCTCGGCGAGCTCCCACTTTGTAACGTTAACCTATCTATCAGCCAAATAGAAGGAGAACGTCCCCGGATTCTTTTTTCGGGGTCATATGCAAATGCCTTACGGCCTAAGTGGATGAACACTTAACACAACGACCCACTAGGGCTCGAATTTAATGTCTAGGGAAGCTAGTGATACTATTGTAATTAACACTCATCCAATCTACATACGACCTTTTAATCAGCGAACTCAGAAGTGGCCGAACACAAGGTTGAACTAAATAAAATATTTAATGTATAAAATATCAAAAACCCAACTTACACAATGTAGGAAAAAACACTATCACAGATTTCTACACTGTCTAAAAAACAGCCACAGGCCACACAACACTGCTGTAGTTTCTAGAATTACTTAGCGACAAGTAATATTAAACTAGAAGACTAAATCACTTAAGAAAGCAAGGCACACACAGGTCTTAAGTACTCTCACGTTCAAATGGTCAGAGTCTATAGCCGGACAATATGGACGGCTGCCTTATCAAGGTAAAACTGCCTCGTAGACTGCCAGGTCAAGATCAACTGCCTCGTGTTGCGAGTGTGCAGTGCAATTAAAGACTTCTGTGACAGGGGAGGTTATCCTCAACTCATGTCGCCATTGGTTGGGATAATCATCTGATCAGAATCATTCAATCAGATTTTAATGGAAAATTTCTATGTCTCAAACACCTTAATAAGTCAGTGGAAAAACCCCAGGTGTTACACCATCATTCCATATAAGGAATTATACAATGTCAAAATAAAAATGACTCGACCTAAGTAGGTCACAATATCTATATCTATATCTATATCTATATCTATATCTATATCTATATCTATATCTATATCTATATCTATATCTATATCTATATCTATATCTATATCTATATCTATATCTATATCTATATCTATATCTATATCTATATCTATATCTATATCTATATCTATATCTATATCTATATCTATATCTATATCTATATCTATATCTATATCTATATCTATATCTATATCTATATCTATATCTATATCTATATCTATATCTATATCTATATCTATATCTATATCTATATCTATATCTATATCTATATCTATATCTATATCTATATCTATATCTATATCTATATCTATATCTATATCTATATCTATATCTATATCTATATCTATATCTATATCTATATCTATATCTATATCTATGTCTATATCTATATCTATATCTATATCTATATCTATATCTATATCTATATCTATATCTATATCTATATCTATATCCATATCCATATATATATATATATATATATATATATATATATATATATATATATATATATATTCTTCTTAATAAACATAATTATCTCATTAATCAAAGCTCTTTAATTAAAACAGGAGATATTATGCTTTTGGCGAATGAAATATACCCACAATATTTACGCGAAAACGGCAGTTGCTATTCAACAAATTTTGTGCACATCAAGTTTAAGGCGGAGACCTATTTTATTTCTGTTAGAATAACTTTTTTTCATAAAGGTGGGTGGTGTAAATGATAGATTTATCTCTATGTGAAAACAACAAACTATGTAATAATTTTATATTCTGTATTTTTTTCTAGAACTGTATCTTTTTTGTATGTTTGTCTATGTGTATGTGCACAAGTACATGTACGTGTACATGTACGTTTACCTGTACTTGAACGTGAACGAGGATGGGGATGTGTTTGTAGCTGTATGTGTATGCGTTTCAGTATATGTATTTGTCTACAGCTGTATGTAATTGTATCTTGTTCTGTAGCTTTATCCGTAACTATAACTATAATTTAACTGTATCAGTATTTTTTTCTATATATCTTTATTTATAACTATGTCAATATCTTTAAAATTAATATTTAATGTTTTCTTTTAAAGACAGTAATATTAGTGCAGCAACTCTTCATGCATTCCTCAATGGAAATGAGAACAAATGTCCCGAGTCAACGCATTTTAGGGTCGATTCATATAATGTCGAGATTCTTTGCAAAAGCAAATTAGTAGTAACTGAAATTAAAATCATATTTAATTCAAATGCTTCCATTTGCAAACTCCGAGTAAACGGCGGTTAGTATTTTGATATGATAATTTATATTTAAGCTTTAGTCGTTAATATCTTCATATTCCGATACATTGCTTCTTCTAATAATTTTTAAAAAAATTTACCATTTGCAAATAGGAAGAGATCTTACAAAAGAAGCAAATTTTGCCATAAGCTTTGACAGCCACAGTCATAGCATAAATTACGTACATGAAAATATCGAGGAAAATTGTTTAATTATAAAAAGGCCTGGGAAAAAAATCAGTTTGGAATCAAAATTTGATTGGCCGCGTGAAGTCTATCAGATTGTAATACATACACCGGGTAAGAAAGTATATATTTTACGAAATCCAAACATATTTTTATTTAAAATGAATATATGCTGAATAGACAGATTAGCATAAGCTAAGTTTATTGCAATATATTTAATTGTTGTATATATATATAACAATATATATATAACAATGTAACAATATATATATAACAATGTAACAATATATATACATATATATATATATATATATATATATATATATATATATATATATATATACATCTACTATATATCTAACTATGCATATATGTGTATATATGTATGTACATATACATAAAAATACATATATATGTGTGTATATTTGAATGTGTGAAAGAGACAGAGACAGAGAAAGCGACATAGTAAATTGATATTATTTAAGTTAGTCGCTAAGCTATTTCAAATATGTACAGCTATTTCTTTTTAATACAAAGTGTGTGAGACCAACTTTAACTAAAGTATTTTAAGTACTGTAAAGTAAAAAAGCGATTTACAATTGTAATAAGTCAATGAGATATTTAGTTTTATTAAATTGTGCATTAATACATTATTAAGACGAATAATAATTTTACTTTCTGGAAATGTCCTATTTACTATTTGATACTATCTAAAAAAACTTCGGGTACATCTCTGAATAATAATTTTTATACTTTGTAGAAATTTCGGATACATCTCTGAATAATATTATGGTCGAAATGTACAACTACAACGATGAAGACAGGCTTGTGTTTTCCAGAGTTTTAGATCACTTTGGATTCATACACGAATTCAACTTTGATAAACATGATTTTATCATGAAAATCGTTTTAAGCACAAGCAATATTTTATCAATGTGTGGAATGCAGGCATATGGTGGTAATATATTTGTTTTAGCTTTGAAAATTTTAAATTAATTTATAATTGATTGATTTTTTATATACGCTTAAATAACAAACTTTTTTTTATACTTAAGTTCTTTATTATGTAACTTCTTTATTATGGTAGATGAAGTAGAGTTCATCTGTTTAAAAATCCATGGGATAAAAAAGTATGTAATGCTCAGTATTATGTCGGGATCCAAACTCAAAACTGCTAGTTTAGCAGCCGAGAGCTCAAACATTATACCACCCCAATTTCTGCATTGTCTGTTGAGGAGAAATGCTGTAAACATGAAAAAATATGCATTTGACTTATCTTTAAAAATCTATTGAATGACGATGTCGAATAATTGTGTTAAATACAAAGTACCTTACTGGCACGATAATAACTACATAACATAATATAATATGTCGTGAGGTGAATTTATTTATTACAAATATACATATTACATATATATATATATATATATATATATATATATATATATATATATATATATATATATATATATATATATTTTTGTAATGATCGCCGTCTGATCAGGCGAACACCCCGGGTTCGTTTAATTGTAGTTATGGACAGCGATGTGACTCAAACTAGGCGTAACTGACAACTACTATTTAATCTGTGTACTAGTATATAGTATATACAAATGACACTAAGTCAACATCAAAATATAATACAAACTAAGAGCAAAGGTAAGCAAAAAAATCAACTTACAGATATCTCTAAGTTAATTAAATAAAACTAACAACTAGATATCAAAATCACAGTTGAGGCCTTGGTGAAAAAATACACCTAGGAAAAATATCAGAAACACTGAAATGGCCACAAAACACCTTATAATAAGGAAATGAAATATACCGCCACAAACTAAACAACTCAAAATGCCGACACTGTTTCTCTCAGGAACTAGGGTCAAGCTGCCAGGAGACTTGCCGTGCACGAGTTTATACAAGATCAAAACCAAGGGAGGTTACTTTAATGTCGTAAGACCATTGGTCGAGGATCTGCTAAGGATCTTTAATGTTGTAAGACCATTGGTCGAGGATCTGCTAAGGATCTTTAATGTCGTAAGACCATTGTTCGAGGATCTGCTAAGGATCGGAACAACCAATTAAAATCCAATCACATGACGTGACGGAGTTCAGGTGACCGAGGATTTCAGATGACCGTACAACTCTCATGGTCGATTACATAACTTAATAAACTAAATTATATAAAGAAAGAAAAGACCTAAGTAGGTCACAATATATATATAGATATATATAATATATATAATATATATATATATATATATATATATATATATATATATATATATATATATATATATATATAGGCCTATATATATATATATATATATATATATATATATATATATATATATATATATATATATATACATAGGCCTATATATATATATATATATATATATATATATATATATATAATATGTGTATATATATAATTCTTTTATCTATGATTCTATATGGTTCTAGTTAACTACAAACAATATCTAATTTTAGAATGTACGAAAAGAAGGTATGGCATACACTGTGACCACATATGTAGTATAACGTGTAGACACCAAGACTGCCAGTTCACCGGAGTTTGTAAAGAATGTATGCCTAACAGAGTCGGTGATTACTGCATGGATTGTAAGTTTCATTATAATCATTGTTTACATTCTTGTATTCACAGTACCGAGGATGTATTGTAATCGTTCAAAAAATCGAAAACAAGATCTTGACAAATCTTGACGTTTCACACTTCGCTGAGTCGGAAAACAAGTTTTGCAATTTGTGTCTGTCATCTATGGAAAAGATAACTTGAATTCAGTTTCAGTTATGTTGATGAAATTAAAAAAATAATCATAATATCGAATTTGTAGTTCTTTATCGAAGTTTTGGTGAATTTGTCGGTAACCGAAAGTGGTACTTATTTTACTTCCGTTTACCAAAACCCAATAACTTGAAAAACTCTTAGGTTAGGTTGGACGAAATGAGACATAAGTATACATTGAATGCATAAGGTAATTTCAACTTAAGTCGGTTTTTTAATAACAGGAAATCTTAACTGGAAATACAATAACTTTATTACTTCCAATTTTTGAGTGTTCTCCAATAACACAAAAGGTAGTTTACTATGTTCTGGTTTTAAAAATATCGATAAATGAAGAAACGTTTCAATAGACCACATTTTATACATGTGTGTAAAATCTTATTCTCACTTAATACAGACATATTTTAAGTTCTTTTTAAGCTCGTACGTAGTACTTTAGGTCTTCTCCGCTTTTTCGTCAAAGGTAACTAAGTTGAATTTATACAGCACTAATCCTCCACTCATTTGTCTTTTGTTCTTTTTGTGTTAATTTTTTTTCTATATGCGATTCTATTCTGTCTTTTAAAAAAAAATAGGTTTTGAAATAACAATAAAATAATTTCTTTCACATTATTGCACTGGAAGTTGTTTTTTGGAAATTGAAAATTTCGTATATTACTACTTCCGGTCAAGAGAAATTAATCAAAATTTAACAGAATTCAGAGGATTGGATATTTTACTTATGTTTGAAGTTTTGTTAGTCTATCTGAAATAGTAGTAAAGTCATAGGTTTTTGAAAAACCAAAAGTAAAATAAGTTCCACTTTCGGTTACCTTAAATCGGGGAAAAGTTAAATAAACCGGGAGTTATCTCCCCTAAACTTTCTCGAATATTCTTATATAACATGAAATATAGACGTGATTTTTAATTACTTAAACTTTTAAAAATAGAATAGAATCTCATAGAAAAAATACTATTAGTACTTTACAAATTTACATGCGTTTTTTGAGAAATCGAAAATAGTGTAAATTAGTTTTTCTGGTCAACCGAAATTACTCAAAATTTGACACATGGTAGAGAATTAGATCTTTTACTTAAATGTGAAATTTCATTTATCTACCTGGAATAGTACTCAAGTTATAGGCTTTTGAAAATTTCAAAGTAGAAAAAATACCACTTCCGGTTATCGGAAATCGCTCAGAAGTTCATCAGGATCTACGATTTTCATTAAAATACTTATATATGAAATTTCATCAACCTAGCTGTAACGGTACTCAAGTTATCGTGTTTACACACAGACAGACAGACACACAGACACACAGACATACGGACAAGATTGCAAAATTATGTTTTTCCGTATCAGTGAGATGTCAAACGTCGAGATTTGTAAAAATCTCGATTTTTGTTGCACGATTGCAAGACTTTCTCTATACTTCGTATATACGAGAAAGTAAAAAAGATGAAAACTTTCACAATTCCATGTGCTTTTTGTGCACGATTACAATACGTCCACTATACTCTGTATACGAGAAAGTAAAAATGGACTTTGTAATTATTTATATAAGCAAATTGACTGTTAACATTATTCATAAACATGCACCTTTGTATAATGTAGTAGCTAATTATTGTCATTGGTTACATTTACAAAAAAGTATTTTTCTTGGAGCTTAGTATTGGTTGGATGAGAGTGAGATAATTTTCAATTAAAAAAAACAACATAAAATTTGTTTAACACATATTATATTTGTGTAAGCTGGTAACAATGATGAACAGGGAAAATAAGGCAGTAGTGAGCTACACAAAACGTTCTTGTATATTCTTTTATAATATTAGAGGTTAGGGGGGAATTTTAAGTTGAATAATGCTATAGAAATTAGAAGTTTAAGGGAAGAAGAACCGATGTTTTTCAAGAAAAAAAACAGAGGCGTATATTTCCCTGGATATACTAGTTCATGGTTATATGACATAAAATATCAAATACTGAAGGATTTTTAGAAATCGATAATAAACTATAATTTTCCAATTACCAGAATGATTAGTGTTCACGGCGAAATTTAAATCACTGAGTTTACGTTGATTAATATCATAAAAGTTTTTTTTTTGGCGACGCTGAACTAAGGTGTAATAATAATAATAATAGGACGATCATCATCTCAAATGTAGTGTACAACATAGTTTACTTGGAAGTTGTGTTTGATGATTAGTTGTCAACTTTAACTAAGACATCTATTTTACGAATAAATTAATGGCTTAGACTCGTCTTGAGCTGCTGTTTTAAACATTGGAATATAATTGCACTTTATTTTCGGTTTTCAAAAAAAAAATATTTTTGCAGTATATATCTTAAATTTTAATGTAGTTTTCGTTTGTTTAGACAAAATGTAGCATATTATATATATATATATATATATATATATATATATATATATATATATATATATATATATATATATATTAGTAATATATACTTCATTACAGATGAAAAGAAAAGATCCCATTCATTTCCCGTAAACAAAACGGAAACAACTTTTTCCCAAGAAAATCTTCAAAATTCTTCCATGTCATCTAATGAGAAAATGTTAATTTTCATATTTCTATCAGTTCTTTTGATCCTACTTTTTATTAATTGCACAAGAAGGTAATTTGATTTATAAATTAATTCGTGAACATAAAAAATAATAATTGTTAATGTAATTCGACAGGCATATTTGAAATAATAAAACGAAAATCTAAGAATTTTTCATTTAAAATCTATATTTACAGATCAAGTAGAGGGAAACCTGCACGGGAATAATTGATCTGTTTTTAAAACGATTGGAAATAATTTATTTCATCTCGACGTAGTTGTAGTTTCGTTATCTTACTCCAGAAAAGTTATATTCTTTTCATATACAAAATAGTATGATAAAATTAAATGTAACAATAATGGTTTTCGCTTTAATGTTTAATAATATACTATTTTTTTCGTTTTATGTGCGTTATATTGTTTTTTATCTGTTTTATACATTTTCTTTTGTTGAGTTTGTTACCACCATACTTAAGGAAAATCGACAATTTTGTAAAGTTTTTTAAGGATTATTTTTATATTTTACACTTTCTAAGAAGAGCTACCTTAATTTAATATTTATCACAGCAAGCCTCTAGAAACATTCTCAAACGTTACAGTGACTTATTTATTGGAGCGACTGATGAACAAAGAAATGCAGCTATACTTCTCCAGTCGACCCTGTTTATGGCAGCTAAGCCAATCAGCACTTGTTTCTCCGAAAGCGTTACATAGAGAGGATAAACTGGCTTACTAACTATTTTTATTCTTTCAAACCGTTTTTTTTAAATAGGAATCCATTGGTTTTAAGTCACATTCTGGCTGAAATAAACTGCAACCATGGTCATAAATTAAAAAAACCACTGTATGTTTTGTGGTTGTGGATATTTTTAAAATATAGGTTTACATATTTGATCAAAACTAGCCGTCCCGGCCAGGCCCTGCTCTGGCTTCTGTGAAAAACCTTTCTGTTAAAGACCATTACCTGTGTTTAGTAATCATCATAAACCCGGCATTGCCCACCCAAACCACAACCATCCAAAACCAAAACAACAAAATGCAAACATAACGCTAACACAATTACAAATACAAACGAAAACAAAAACCTAACAACAAACCCAACCACAACCACAAACACCAATACGAACACAAAGAAAAAAACAAACGAAAAAGCAAAAAACATTTTCAAATTCGCAGGGTTGGCGCCCTGGCAGGGCGCAATTTTTTTTTCTTTATACGATATATAAAAATAAAAGTCGATTTTGGCTTGACACGTTTATTCGACAGCCATGAGACTTTGAGGGAGTTTATTGGGACACTCTGGGGAAGGGTTTTGTAAAACAAAAATCATTTTTAATTTCGCAAGGGCGGCGCCACGTAAAGGTGCGTTTTTTCTCTATATACGGTATACAAAAATAATAAAACTGAATTGCGGTGACACCGTTCACACGATCGCCATGAAACTTTGGGAGGATGTTGAGAATATTCCTGGAAAGGTTTCTGCGCTAAAAACATTTTCAAATTCGTAGGGATGGCGCCCTGGCAAGGCGCGATTTGTTTTCTCTAAACATATGGTGTATAAAGATAAAAGTCGATTGCGGTCTCACAACGTTCATCCGATAGCCATCAAACTTTAGGGACTTTATTAGAACACTCCAGGGAAGGGTTCTGTAAAAAAATCATTTTTAAAATTCACAAGGGCGGCGCCACGAAATGGTGTGATTTTTCTCAATATACGGTATATAAAAATAAAAGACGATTGCGGTTCGACGCAATTTATCCCGGTGCCATTAAACTTTAGGGAGTTGATGAATACTCCCGAGAAGGTTTCTGCGGTGGGGGGGGGGGGGGCGGAATAGGGGTGGGTGGGTATTGGGGGCGGGGGATTTAATTTTGCATGGGCGGCCCCCCGGCAGGATGCGATTTGGCGCCCTCGTCTTTCCCGTGGGCGCTATGGTGAATACGTTCGGTCTAAACAGTGTGATAGACAATGGATAGGATGGGGCTTTACAAACGCTTACTAAATTGAATCAGGCGTGTCCTCTGGCGCCGTGGTAGGGTGCGATTAGGCTGTAAATAAAAATGTCTGTTTCGGCCCCCAAAGGCTCACATGGGCCGCTGAGGGCCATGTAATACGTTTTATTTTAATAATCAAAAAAACTAACCAAGGTTAGATTAATAACTGGAATGTTTCTTTTTGTCCATAAAAAAATCCAAACAGTTTAGTCACTTTGCGAATGATGCGATTAGCATCTATTTTTAGATAATTCAAACAGAAATTGAGATCAAGCATCTAAGAATAGACCATTAGTAACGCTTACATATTTCATCAGTCACACTGATGTTTAAAACGCGTCAAATAATTTTTTTTACGTGTTAAACAACAAATCCTGTTCATTTGTGTTACTTTAGTGAATGACGCAATCTTCATCATTGTTAACAGGATACTATTTTAAGGAGCCAGGGGTCGTACGCCGCGCCTATGCGGTAGTGTAATTGGGGGCTGAGGGGCTCCTGAGAGCGGGCCTCTACGTCTCTGACACAATGGCGGTCACCAAAGTGTGTTCTACCATATTATTTTGGTGAGTGATTAATGTACACCCAAGGGTTTCATGTGGTAGTGTAGGTAAACCCGTGTCCTGATATTTACGATCCGAGCGCAGGCACTGTTTACATTTAAATAACTCATTTTTAGAAAAGTTCACGCGTCTAAGAACATATGATTGGTAACGTGTTGGTGAAATCCCTCTAATATATTTCGTCAAACTTTTTCTATCCGCGCGGCATTTATTTATTTATTTAATTATTTATTTATTTATTTATTTATTTATTTATTTATTTATTTATTTATTTATTTATTTATTTATTTATTTATTTATTTATTTATTTATTTATTTATTTATTTATTTATTTATTTATTTATTTATTTATTTATTTATTTATTTATTTATTTATTTATTTATTTATTTATTTATTTATTTATTTATTTATTTATTTATTTATTTATTTATTTATTTATTTATTTATTTATTTATTTATTTATTTATTTATTTATTTATTTATTTATTTATTTATTTATTTATTTATTTATTTATTTATTTATTTATTTATTTATTTATTTATTTATTTATTTATTTATTTATTTATTTATTTATTTATTTATTTATTTATTTATTTATTTATTTATTTATTTATTTATTTATTTATTTATTTATTTATTTATTTATTTATTTATTTATTTATTTATTTATTTATTTATTTATTTATTTATTTATTTATTTATTTATTTATTTATTTATTTATTTATTTATTTATTTATTTATTTATTTATTTATTTATTTATTTATTTATTTATTTATTTATTTATTTATTTATTTATTTATTTATTTATTTATTTATTTATTTATTTATTTATTTATTTATTTATTTATTTATTTATTTATTTATTTATTTATTTATTTATTTATTTATTTATTTATTTATTTATTTATTTATTTATTTATTTATTTATTTATTTATTTATTTATTTATTTATTTATTTATTTATTTATTTATTTATTTATTTATTTATTTATTTATTTATTTATTTATTTATTTATTTATTTATTTATTTATTTATTTATTTATTTATTTATTTATTTATTTATTTATTTATTTATTTATTTATTTATTTATTTATTTATTTATTTATTTATTTATTTATTTATTTATTTATTTATTTATTTATTTATTTATTTATTTATTTATTTATTTATTTATTTATTTTTTTATTTATTTATTTATTTATTTATTTATTTATTTATTTATTTATTTATTTATTTATTTATTTATTTATTTATTTATTTATTTAAGTATTCATTTATATATTTATTTATTTATTTATTTATTTATTTATTTAGTTATTTAGTTATTTAGATATTTAGTTATTTAGATATTTAGTTATTTAGTTGATTAGTTATTTACTTACTGTTATTTATATCACTGTTTACTTTATTTATGAATAACAGTTTATTTTTTTTTTATGAATAACAGTTTTTTTAATTTATGAATAATAATTTATTTTATTTATGAATATCAGTTTATTTTATTTTATTATAGATAAGAATAGTTCTACATCTAATTTTAAAACACGAAGTTTACAGACGCTCTCAAGTTCTCAACGAACCGGTATGCAAGAGAACAATCAATGTCTGCTGGAGAGATATCGACTATCGTTGCTTTATTTGTGTTCGTACTTCTGCACGCTGTCATTCTGTGCCTGCGAAAACAGTATTGAAGCTGCTGAACTGACTGATACTGCATATTATATATTTTCATCCCCAAACAAACAGTTCTCCTTGAGTAAGATAATTGCGTTCAGAATAGAGTGGTGTTGGTGGAGATGACGTCACTATGTGGTTGATTGTTGTGTTTTACATGCATGCACGAGCTTCTATATTGTGATATATTTATTATAACAAACGATTTACGCTTTTTGTTTTGATAAAGTTTCTTTGAATTTATAAAAAATTTTTTTTTAATGCAAGTTGGTAGTTATTGTAATTAGCTTAAGTGATAATTTGTTATCCAGATGTATTCTTCAACAAAATAGATCACATGTGTCGCTACTTTTGACATTACAAATATTTAAATTATTTGAGCACATCATATTTCTTTTGCTTTAAATTTAACTTAATAATGATTAATTTAATTAATTGTTGTTAAAATAATTTTAAGACAAAAGAAGCGAGAGAATTGGACTTGACACACAAAAACGCTGGAGAACCCAAAGAAGATAAAATACGGTGTATCTTCAATGAAATTGACAAAACGGCATGGCGTTTGGCTTACAACCAGAAAGTCTCGAGTTTGAATCTGGGTCCAAATCAGTAGAACGCCCCTGAGTCCCCTTTGCTCGGATGAGTATATATCCTAAGTTAGGGTAAGTATAAAGGCTTGACTACACCTTCCCTTCATATGCCGATGTCAAGGTTTCATATAAACTCTACTTCGTTTGTCCATTGGATGGTTTGGTCTAAAGAGGATTATTTAATTCCTTTAATAAAGAATCTGTAGAGAAATAAGGGCTAAGTATACAAGATAGTTGATACAGCTGATGTTAATTGATGAAACCTCGGGAGCTCAGGCTACTGGACTTAACTAAACAGTCAAGAAAATAGTCTGTGGAAGTATAAACAAGGGCTGCAGGACTCACATGGGCTGAACTAAAGAAAGCTGCACTCAACAGATTCAGCCGGAAAAATGTAGCAGCAACCCTTTGCGCAACACTTAATACAGAGGAATAAGTCAAGTTATAATTACAATGATACTGCACGGCTACCTAGTTAAACATGAATAAAATAGCTGGAATTAATTGACCAGCTTGTGGTATCTCTCTGGTTTGTTGAGCTAAATGACCAGCTTGTGGTAACTCTCCTGTTTGTTGAACTAAATGACCAGCTTGTGGTAATTCTCCGACTTGTTGAACTAATTGACCAACTTGTGGTATCTCTCTGGTTCGTTTCCCAACAACGTTCCCGTATTTGATGGGTTCAGCTACATTTCCCAGTTAGCCGGAAGTTATTGTGTCGAAGATAACTTTGTTGATGGGGGGGGGGGTAGTACCTCAATAATTGAAAGAACTGCTAATGCAGAAACTGGCAGACAGCAATATCTAGGAATACATAGTTCTTTGTCATTGCGGTCGAGCAACAACGGCACGGAACAGTGATGTTTATGGAGTTAAAGGTAATGGA